GATCCCCTCGCTCTCTCCTGCGTAAGACCTCGGCAAATGACATAACCCGCGCCTGTTCAGTCTTCTATGATAGCGCCATCTAAAAATAGGAATTAGTCGAGGATATGTCGTGTAGCCTGCTGTTGTTTGAGAGGAATTGGTCCCAGAAATCTACCTATCGCCACAATCTCGATTGGCTTTTTTTCACGGGGCGCCGACCATGGTGGGGGTATAGTGTCATCGAAAAGTTCTAACGCGATTTTCTGGCGGATCCAGCATGTGGGACCAGTATTCTAATGCCTACGACGAGGGTGATAGGGGTCAGCTGCAGCAATTCGAACCGCTAGACGGCTGTGAATTCTGTTAAGCCACGTCTGAGCTGGGCCCCAGCCAGCTTCACGTAGAAGTGCTGCTATTTGTGTGGTACGGTAGACTGGCGGAGCTGCCCGAGCCGCATCGTTCATCCTGTGTTGGACTTGCGAGATAATCTTTTGAGAACTCTTTTTAGAGAACCAGGTCTCAACCCCATAGAAAAGGGTCACAAATGCGGCACCTTGCAGAGCTTGTCGTAGAAAAAGAAGGCTAATTCCTTGTGTGGTCGTCGAGAGTCTTTTCAAATGGATCGCGAAAGCTAGAGACTTTAAGCAGGCTTGTGTGGTATGATATTGGAGTTGAAGAGCACGGTCGATAAAGACTCCAAGTCAGCGAGAGTTATTATTGGGCGTTATGATTGTCGCTCTTCTATTTTCAGATGCCTCTGGCGGTGAGCCTCGCTTCCAGTGAAAGTAATGTAGCTCAGTCTCAGGCAGCTCAGAGCTAATTCCGTCAATAAAAATCCATGTTATAGTGCTATGTAATTTCTCCTGGAGTTTACATGCACATTCGGCTAGGCAGGGCGCTGACGTGAAGAGGGCAATGTCATCAGTATAGCTAAAGCGACTGGTGGGGAGGCGTAGAGCCTCTTCCATAGCCAAGAGAAATAGAATTGGGGATACTGGCGAGCCTTGTGGGAGACTACGGTAAGTTTGGAAGGGCGGGGAGGCAGTATCTTCAATAGAGATTGTGGATTCCTGCTCTTCCATGAAAGATGCTACCCAGTGAGCCACGTTTGATGGCCATCCTTGGAATTCGAAGTCGATGACAGAGTCGGCCATTTTGAATACCGTCAAATTCCTCATGAATGTCGATAGTCACTATACCGTCTACTTTCTTTTCCGTTTATTTTGCCTAAACATCACAAACGAGAGCTATGGCAAGGTCAATAGCAGGGCGAAGAGGGATGGCACTGTGTCAGGCGCAGGTTCACTAGGCGCAAGACTCGAGGCGTAGGAGAGGGCGTAGCGTACGATGTACTGAGGAAGGGCGCCTCGTGGGAACGCGGAGGGCTTTCTAGAAAAGTGGTAAATGGGAAAGCGGGGAGTCGTTCTAGATAGAGGGGCCGGTGATGACGGTAGGTCACTATGGTTTGCAGGGGACGAGAGTGAGATGTGATTAGAATAACGTAACTATTCCTAAAGACAGGAAACAAAGCGTGAAGATCTCAGTATCGGAAATGAAAACTACATAACTATCCTCGCTAGGCAGTAAGCATAGTGGTGGAGGGCAAGACTGAACACCTGTACGCGGTGTCCTCTACGAACCTGGGAGCGAAATATTCTCCCTGAGCCAAGATCAGTCAAATTTCGCAAAATCAAAGAAGTTGGCCCACGAGGCAAAATTTCAAATTACTCCACCATGTCAATCTTTCACTCCCAAAGAGTCCGATTCTCAACTAAGCTTCATCAAGTCTACAAGTACGACATAGTACATCCTCATTCCAATGACCACACCTCTTTTCGACTTTCTCTGGCCTTGGCTGGTCGCCAGATACACGCCCACGCCGATATTTACACCCGCTGGAGGAAGTAAAGTGTGGCGCACAAATCTGGAAGACAATTCCTTGGGATGGATGTTAGAGGGATCAGGACAAGTTGATAAGATGATGCAGAGGATTGGATACAGTCTCGACGGGCGTGGAATTTTGAGTTTTGGAAAGGAGTTTTTACAAATTGAGCTTTGTGCGTGCCAAGTCTTTGGCTGCGAGAGTGCAGGCGACACTATAAATACCGCCATGGTTGGATGGTGCGGTGGTACATCGTCTTGGTCGGTCTGCCAAGTAGAGTCTGGATAGCTTGGACACACATCCCACTTGAGACAGTAGGTCGCTGGTTCAAATCCGCCAAAACATAACCACTTTTCTCGCGGCGCTGGTAGGCATGGATGACGAAGGCAAGCTTGGATAACCAAAGGTTTTGAAACTCCCTTTGGTGGGTACCTGCGGAGGAGGGTCAACTGTTTGTGTAAGAAAACAAACCTCATAGTGGTATTTGCGAATGAAATCCAAGCTGCATACACTTAATGATTTAAAAAAAAAAAAAAAGAATGAAATCCAGAGTATGAGTGTTTCTAACGTCAAAAGAGTCATCCACAATGTATTTACAATACCGATTATATGTTATATCTCGATAGCGCAATACACATTAAATGGGGTTAAAAAAGACAGCCGTGAATTTTCCAGTCAAAACTTATCATTTCGTTCTTACTACTGTGCACAAGAAATCTCTTTTTTTTTGCATCAAATTTTAATTACGTATGCAGCTATCTAGCTATGACATAATATCAAAGAAACGTACAGAATAGATGATTCAACGTAGGAGAAATCATAAGAAACCTCAACGTGCTGCGCGCGGGCACGACGTTAAACGTTCTTAATAAAGCAATGACCCACAGAGAACAAAGGACGAACACCTGCCAGTAAATTCCTCTATGAACCCAAGACTTAAGTATTCCTAAAGAGCCAAGATTCAGCCATCCCTCAACGGTCGAATCGATTTTTTCCCTGACTGAAAGTCTCGTCAGAAGGAGTAATGCCGGGCTAATTCAGTTCGGAACTCATGGATTCCAGAGATTCCTCGACTACATACATCACGGCGAATATTGTTAAGACCATTCAGGCCGATATCAACTTAGGCTGATCATCGCACTCCCCTTCAATACATTAAAAAGGTTGAAGTCATTATTTAATGCCGAAAAAAGCACTGACCGGCGACCCCTTCTTCCAACACTGTTGTCGACGGGGAAATATCGGATGATGCCAAGCTTGAGCTACTGAGTATGAATGTTCCATGGCGAAATCAAAGCCTGCGAGAGAAGATGGGAAAGATGCGGGGTCGTGAAATCTTTGGAAGTGGTTCAAACGGAGGACTCAAGATTCCAAAGGTATCGCCTGGAAGGTTGGCAGAGGCCGTCAACACTTCAAAATTCTTATAAATTTTCGAGGTGCTGGAGCAGTGGCTGGGCCATACTGTGCGTTCGATCGTATACGTTGCGAAGTGGCTTACGGTTGACTAGGGACTAAAAGCACGCCTGTAATAAGTATCACAGAATGCCTGGTAAGTCGTTAAGTCAGATGTAAGTTGTTCCTTTAATCATCACCTCCCAAACTCCTACATAGACTACAATACGCTAAGCTAGGCTGACATTACGTAATTAATACACCCCGGACCTGTTTGTGCTGTGATCCACTTCTAGGTGTCAGGTCACCTCGACACAATATCTTAAATTTGCTGGGCTATTTAGGCCGCTGGCACGTCGGGTAGTCTTTACAGGCTGGGCTAACCAGCACTTGGCCCTATGGTCTAGTGTTCTGCGCCGGCACGACGTTGAACAAGATGAAAAAAATTCAACAACCCACACCAAACTGAAACTACTCACAACCTCAACCATGAGCCCATGGACAGTCATGATAGTAGCCTGCGACATAGCACATGTAGGCTATATATCTTTGACTAGAGCATAATCCGAACAACAAAAGTTACACAATAAACCCACACAAACATGCGCATTCCAAAGAAAACCCAGATCTGGCCGGTTTCATTGCTATGATTGTGAAAAGTACTACTCCGGCTCATTCAGCACTCATCTTGTTTATTGTGACCAGAGACGGCTTTCGCCATTCGTGTTGAGGCCACGGTCGTAAAAAGAGTTGTTTATCCATCTCGGGCCCACTATATTCATCGAACCCGTCTGCAAGATAGGTCTTCTTGAGGGTTGAGCAACTGGAGAGTCGGGCAGTTAGGCTGCTTTCCAGAAAACCGTAGCCCATGGTGGGCTATTCTTCTCGGGCTTCAGAGGCAAGGCACCGCGTGGCTTATCGGAATTGGCCTGAAACTTTGCCGCCGCTGAATACAAATTCCGAGTAGGACCTGAGAAGCCAAAGCCTACAACTGTCCAAACCTGAATGCCCAAAATCTTTAGTTTTGATGTGCAAAGAGTTTCGTTGGTGTTAACCTGCTCCAAGATTTCAAATACACTGACAATTAATTTTCTTGAACAAGAAAATACTGGAACAGGTAAGTATCTACATATCTAGGTTGGGTGCAATTTACTTATTTGTCCATTTATTTCCTATTTGAGTCTCCAACTGTGTGGGTAAGACTATTTAAATACAACTTTTCTTTTACATTATAATTGGGGGTTTCCTTCATTTGATGGTGAGATCCCCATTACTGGTTCATCATGGCTGGGTGCAATGGTCAGAGTGAAAATTCTTTCGCAAATTTTTAGTCAGGATCATTATGACAGAATTGGATCACAAGGCATTGGAAGTTTGTTTATGCGCAGTGCATCTAAAATCCTATCACCCGTGACTCTGAAGATCTTTTCAGGATCCACATTGATAGCAAAATCATCTTATTGATTCAGATCTGGACATGTTAAACACCATTTGATGTGTTGAATCTCGTACCTTCCGTAATTACTTTTTGCTGCTACATATGGTCACGGATCGACCGACCGTAATCGAGGAGACTCTGATCCGTGACAATAACTAGATTTGCTTGAAACTCTTCATGGCCGCACATTTGCCACCATTTTGAAAAGAGAAATGGAACTGATTAGTGACCCTCAATGTTACCGGTAGGAGAGAATAAAGATAAATAAACAAAATTGTATGAATTGGTAAAGTAACGCTTTCTTTTACTTCACTTCTTTGCATCAATAGAGCCACATACAGCCGGTGTTCCCACATGCATACGGTACATGCACTTTTCTGCTTCGTAGACCTTCCAGATCTCATCGTTTTCTGCACAGCCAAGAATGACTGTGGTCTGACGACTTGGGCCATTCCAGCAGCCCTGCCCATTTTCGTATTTTAACACTAACCGTTCGCCCTTACCGAGTCCCTTTCCATCAATGCTCATCTCTTCATCAACAACCATCTTCTCAAATCGTGTAAAAGTACCAATTCCAGTTTGGGAACCACCCTTGTTACTTTTCTGCTTGGCTTCTCCAAGCCAGCAGAGCTCGTATCTGTACTCGCCTGAACCAGACTCAATACACCGACCCTTGAGCGCTCGAAAAACTTCATCAATGCCATAATCTTTTGTGAGATCAGCTTGTTCTTTTCCAAGGGAAAACTGCTCTTCACTCAGTTCATCTGCAGCGGCTTGAAATATTTTTCTGGCATTTTCAACTGCTTTACTCTCCGATGCTTCGAGATTGACAGCTGGGAGAATACCCTTGCTAGAAAGGTAAGATCGCAGGTCATATAGTTTAGTTCGCGACCATTCAAGGAGGAAAGTAGATACTGCAGAAATTTTTAGCATGCAACCAAGATGTTCAAAGAAAGCGAAAATTGCTTACTAGAATCGATTTCGTCCTCTTCAATCTCCCATTCCTCCCAGTGAATTCCGTGTTCTGCACTGTCTTCCTTCAGTACTTGGTCCATTTCTTTATCTTCGGCTTCCGAAGCTTCATCCCTGTCTGCAATCTCAGCAGCTGCATAATCCTCCCACTTCTTAACCGCACGTTTGACACCATCATCGTTAAAGTTAGGATTATATTCTTCTTTTAGGGAAGTAAGAATAGACTCCAGATTGTGAATTCGCTCAGTTAACGCGTCTCTCCGGATGACCATGCCCAATAGTGCATGTCTCAGTTTTTCTACCCTTTCCTTAGCCAGCGCGGCTAATCGTGCGGCTTTGCTCACTTTGTCAGACTTTTTGATGGCACGGCTGCGGTCCCGACGTTCCAGGTCCTCTAGTTTCTTTTTCAGGTTTGAGGTGTTTGTTTCTTTTGATGCAATTTCCAGCTCCAGCTCATTGATGCGAGTCTCAGTGCTAGCTCTCAAAGCCGTAGCTTCATTAACCAGCAAAACCCGTTTCTGAAGTGCGTTTCGCAAGCTTTTTTGCTTAATAGCATCTAGTCGTCGCCATTCATTCCCGATCTCTTCACAGCGATCGACACAATTCACTCCACCGACGCCTGCCCACTCATCACTACCATCACAACATGTCTCGTAATCGCATACGCCGTCATTTACCAAAGTGTGGGCTAGGTTTGCCGGTCGATGACCCTTATTTTTGCAGTAGAATCCTGGCAAGGCTAGCGTAGAATTTAGAGAATTAGAAGTCGCAAGGCGAAGTGGAGACAATGCTGTGATGACAGTGCAAGCTGCAGTGCCTGGCTCATCTGAACCATCAGGACAGTCACAGTAGTCATCATTAACCTGATGCGATTTTATGGAAATGGAGGGATTTAGAATACAGCTAAACGTCGTCTCGGATTTGAAGTACTTTGCAACTACCGAGAGAAAATGTGTAAGCATGCGAAGCGCGCACTATGGATAGATCACTTGGGTTAGCTTACATTCAGGTGCCACACCACGTGGGCGGGAGGCCTGGACGGTCAGGAGAGGAATGATTAGGGCACCGAGAAGCTCCCACGCCTTTGATTGCTTCATAGTAACTAGAGCTTCGTGAGTGAAAGGAAATTACCACCGGCTGTCCTGGGCTGACCCGGAGCTAGAGGCCAGCTTAAGTATCACCTGCCAGAAGCGAAACAAACGCGCGCCTATGATTGTAGCCACAGAGGTTGTCCGAGCGCGCACGGCGTTGCGGGTGTCTCGATAAGCAAGAAGGTAGCAAAGACCCCTAAAAAGCGTTTGGTCGAGATCATCAGTTCGTTGGACACAAACTAGATTCAAGGGAAGCCTGAGCCCGAGAAATATTCAACGAGTCCTTGCAAAGAGACTTATTGCTATGAGCGCGGTAAGCAATTGTTCTCGTGGAATAAATGTGGTAATCGTGATGTATTTGACATCTGAACAGAGTAATCCCCTGCCTGATCTATATACTTGGATATCTCCAAGCTAAAAGAGCCCGAGACCTTGTGTGCTGAAAGAGATGTATTTTTGAAGATAGTCTACATTTATCAAAAAGCGTTGTGGGATGGTATCGTAGTTTGATATACAGATTCGCTCCATACATGACTGAAGGGTCTTTATTCAGGCCCATGCGGAATAGAAAATGGTTGTTCGACACTCATCGTTTCCAAACTAATTCTTCACCTTCCAGTGGTGCCGGTGAAATCACTCAGTAGGCTCTGCATATCTGTGATGGCCAGGAAGAATTGCATCCAAATCGAAGTCGAAATCAACCTCAAACATATCACAAATTTTTGACCTATCATTCTCACGCTAGTCCTCCACCTCGCCACAAATACCGATAATGGTATTACTCCAATTGCAATCGAGCATTTGCCTCATTAAAAACCGGCCATCTCCCACTACAAATTTACGATGCTATATAGACACGTGAGGAGGAGATTAAGTCATTATCTACAAAGCTCAGGTCTTGGTCTATAGGGGACTGCTGCTCTCATGGGGCTTCAAATCTTGAGGGGGGACAGGCAGCTGGGACGCGGGACGCGGGACGCACAGTTTTTGAATCTTTTTGACTTAAGGGTGTCTGTGGGCGTAGAGGCAACTATTTTGGACAGTGCAACCGACACTCTAAAAACTGGCAACGATGGAAGATGTTTTGGTCCGTCTCCTGGTCGTCATCTCCCCGAATTAAAGTCTGCGTAGCCTGGACACCTACCTCCATCGAAAAAGGGAGGACTGTGAGGCCATATCTCGCACGGCGGCTATATACAAGATGGCAAAGGCATGTTAGGGTAGCGGAAGGTTTTTCATGTTTTCCCTTTGGTGGATAGTAACGGTTGAGGGAAGGGTGAAAGTCCCTGGCACCAAGGTCTCGAGTAGGATCAGCCAATGCACCCACTACATGATTAGTCCAAATGTCAAACTGAGTTATCGTCGTATACAGTCGTCGGAGAAGCTAGTCTTCTCCGTGTCATGCTCTTTGAGTGCAGGGCTTGTGCCCGTCACGAATAAAAATTCATTCATCGTCTCCAAAATTGTGAATTGCCACAGCCCTAGACCAGATGCATTGATCAAGTCACATACTTCTCATCAACTTTGCACGTAGCGTCGGAAGACAACCATCTTGGCAATTGCATTCGATAGCATTATCATTATATTCACCAGATCTAAGGCACCTTTTTCACTACACAGTGAGATTTTTTTGCTTCAGATTTTAATTCATAGCGAGATTGTAAGGCTTAGTAGTACGTTGTCGGATGCAATTGACTAGATGCTTTCAATCAAAGCTGTGCGTTGCTGATGTTAGATGATGTAGAGTGCAGGCAACACTTTAAACACTGCCATGGCTGGGTGGTGTGGTGGTACGTCGTCTTGGCCGGTCTGCCAAGTAGAGTCTGGATAGCTTGGACACACATCTCACTTGAGATAGTAGGTCGCTGATTCAGACCCGCCAAAACATTACCATGTTTCTCGCGGCGCTGGTAGGCATGCTTGGATAATCAAAGGTTTTGAATTCCCCTTTGATGGGTACCTGTGGAGTAGGGTCGACTGTTTGTGTAAGCAAGCATACCTCATAGTGGTATTTGCGAATGAAATCCAGAGTATGAGTGTTTCTAACGTCAAAAGAGTCATCCAAAATGTATTTACAATACCGATTATATGTTACAGCTCGATAGCTGAATACAAATTAAATTGGGTTAAAAAGAGATTGACGACATGGAAGCCCCTACGTAAAGTTAGTGGGGATTGTAGGTATCACAGTTTCAAAATATAAGCAAACGAGCGTTTTTTTTTGCATCAGATTTTAGTTGCGTATGCAGTTGTCTAGCTATGACAAAATATCAGAGAATTTCATAATAGATGACTCAATTTAAAAGAGGAGCAAACATGCCTCAGATTTCATTTACAAGTACCACTGCGAAGTTATGGCGGCTTTTTCTTCACCCCAAGTCAACCCTCATCCGTAAATACCCACCCAGGGGAACGTCTCGAAAACCCTGAGTTATCCAGACATGCCTCCATCATCTTTCAACTTTCCTCCGCGCGAAATATAATCTGATATGTCTCCTTCCCAAGTGGAGTAGGTGTCCAGGCTACTCAAACTATACCGGAGAACACCACCAGGAGGCGGACCACTTCACCTTCCATTGTTTGCTTGTTTTTTATAGTGTGAGCTGCACTCTCGCAAGCGAAGTCTTGGCGCGCACAAAGCTCAATCCGTAAAACTCTTGCAAAAATTCGAAATTTCACGCCCGTCGAAAATGTATCTCTCTTCTGCATCATCTTGTAAACTTATCCTGATACCTCTCACGTCCGTCCCAAAGAGCTATCTCTCAGATTTGTGCTCCATGCTTTGCTTCCTCCGTCGGGTATAAATATCGGCGTGGGCGTGCATTTGGCGGTCAACTAAGGCCAGAGAAAGTCGACGAGAGGTGTGGTCATTGAAACAAGGATGTACTATGTCGTGCTTGTAGACTCGATGAAGCTTAGTTGAGAATCGGACTCTTTGGGAGTGAAAGATTGACATGGTGGAGTAATTTGAAATTTTGCCTCGTGGGCCAACTTCTTTGATTTTGCGAAATTTGACTGATCTTGGCTCAGGGAGAATATTTCACTCCCAGGTTCGTAGAGGACACCGCGCACAGGTGTTCAGTCTTGCCCTCCAAAAGTTATGCTTGTACAGGCCAGTGAAGTATTGATGGTGTTTAATTTCCGTATCGAATTGATACTTCATATTTATGTATGGTTGTAAAAGGTATCGTCCTTCTACACGTAGTTCAAATCAGTGTCGGTATGTCTACTGTGTAATCACAAAAGTCGCGTTCAAATTGCTACTCGTTATGATTCTCATTCTCTCTCCCAAAATACGGAATGAAACTATTAGGTGAACTCCATCCCCACAACGACTTATATAATCATAACAAGTCATGTGAAGTCCTACATTCCCATCTCCATTTCAACTATAGTCAAATATATCCCATTAGGTCTAGACAAATAGAATCCTTGCGCTTCACCGTCGAGAATATGTGAAAACAAATGATGCAAGTACTGCGTTGGGATACTGAGATTGTAACAAGTCCTAAGGAATTATCGGACTTCGTGGTTTAGCATATCATACGCTTCTCCGGTATAGCGTTGATTACGATATCATAGCTTGATGAAAGACGATTATGTATTGTTATCAACCCATTCGTCCGGGAAGTCGCATGGGGGAGTTCAATGTAATCATCGCAGATTTTGTAATCTGCAACAGCTCTAACAGCTAGTCTTTGAGAATATAAACCACCTGGTGTAGGTCGTGGTTGATCATTCTCTCAAGGGTAAGGAGACTGTGAACGGTTATGTCGGGAAATTGTGGCTGTTGTCTAAATTTTGGTAAAACTGAACTAATAGCTTGACCTTCAATTAATTAACATTTAGTTTGCTTTGGCATAAAATTTGGGTATTGCAATTGCTGTCGTCGATCCAGTACATTAAAATCCTTTAGTCGAGCCCACTCTGAAAGTTCTTCGGCGTGGAGTAAATTTACCATTGCAATGGCGACGGGTGCCGTTTTTTGCCAATGTAGGTACTGTGGTTATGAAGATAATCATGGGATCTTTTCTGAAATGGACTTTTAATTTTACTGAACTTGTCTGATTTCCAGTCTGCAAACTCTTCCTTGAAAAGCAAAAATAGATCCTCGCCATGCTCTATGTCTTTCTCCCAATCTGTAAGAAGTCTGACGGCATAGATGGTAAGTGTCGGAACACTACCAATGGTCAATTCACAAGCTTGTGTGGGGTTACTCAATTCATTCCTATTTCTTCTCCCTGCCGGGAGGAATTCTATAAATACATTGTTGCCTTTAGCTAAACGCTATTCCCTATAAGGAAAGGTCTCAACTCGACCCTTGTACATAACATGTTGTGAGCCAGTTCATACAGTATGTACTATTGCTAATAAGGATTTACTAACAGATTGGCCTCAGGGATCTGGATCTATGGTGCCAAAATGACAAGGGTAAATGCTTGCGCCGTCAAATCTTAGGAGGAGCTGCGCAATCTTGTAGTCTTTGATACAATTTTAGGCTTCGACCTTTGAAGTATCTGTTTTGGCCATTTGAATGAGTTTTCCTTAAGGATAGCTGTCGCTGTGTGGATACTGAAATTGAAGCGTGAATGAGGCTTATCTCAGCAACAGTAGAGTAACTAACATGCACAACAGAAGAGTTTTCGGATAGGATAGTTCTGCAGACTGTAGCTTTCGATCTTCTTGTCGTTTGCTGTATATTATGGCTGTATCGTGTGTCTTTATACAAGTTTCGATGCAGTAACAATCTTGTAAACTGAAAATGTATCCTTAGTACGCTTCTCTCCCGCTGATCGTTCAGAAATTAATCATGAAATACGGACTAGAGAGATCTGTTTCTTCAACTTAGCTGTCCTGTAGTCACATCTATGGACTACTGATCAGTGTCAGTCGGCCATATATTCTTGTATATTGCCGACCATCAGTGAGCGTATATTTGGTGGCCAGCGGAGGACAGAGACTTATTAGACAAGATTAGATTAGATTTTTATTATAGTCTCTACTGAGTCTAAGACTATGGAAGACTTCATGAATCTAACGAAAGATTCTAACTACATTTGAGAAATCTAATTTTGAAATATGCCAAAATTTTCTCTTATAGATATTGTGTGACAAGCCCTTAATTTGACAAAAGGTGTGGTCATAACAATGAGAATGCACTAAGTTGTACTTATTGAATTGATGCTTCGGTGGGAATCGACCTTGTTGGGAGAGAGATTGAATTAGTGTGAAATGTATAAATGTTGCCTCGTGGGCTAACTTCTTTGATTTTGCGAAATTTGGCTCCGAGAAAATTATTCTTTTCCAAATCTGGGAAGAAAGTCGCAGACAAGCTTTCGGATGTTGGCTGGTTCCTACAGGGAACGAGCCGGTGGGTGTCTGACGCCACCACACTTGACAAAGCCTTAGATCTCATGGTATATAGGATACATATAGTTAGCGACGGTACCCGTACGGGGTAGTCATTGGGTATGTTGCTCGCAAAACCAATGCCGGAATGTAGAGGACCTTGCCAAGCCACTCCATCCCGCTCCCACATGCTTCAAACACAAATATCCCGGCTGATAACTTGATTTGTGGGATTTTTCTTAACCATTCCCCGCAAGTTCCTAATAAGAAGTTGTGGGGTTACTGGCTCGGCGCATGACTTGAGCAAGCACGTGCACCAGATTAGGGCTACCAATGCCTGAACTGTTTTGCTATTTACGTAATTCAAATTATCTTACGGCATGGTTTGAGAGAGGTATGTTTATTGTACCACTTGTATGTTTGTATTTCTTGTGCTACTTGAGTCTATGAGTATCTAGCACATTGGACTCCTCTCTGGCCCGGGCCACACCTTGTACAGAGCTTCCATTTTCTTTTGTTTTATGATCATTGATACATTTCCCGTGATAAATAGTCATTGATCCCAGTGTTTACCCGTGGAGCTCAGCCACCTTTTCCACGGAACCTTCTATTCAAAAAGCCGGCAAAGACGATTTCTTCACCTTCCAGTGGTGCCGGTGTAATGGCTCATTATGCTCTGCACATCTGGGATAGCCAAGAAGAATCGCTTCCGAATCGAAGTCGAAAGCAACCTCAAACACATCTCCATTTGACGACTTCTCGACAATGCCTCACTTAACATACTCATCTAGGTCCCCAACCTCTCTCTAACCGCCCATCATCTCTCCTCGACGACCAATAAAGAAGTTGCTTCGATTGCATACAGGAGCTTGCCCCATTAAATTCCAGCCATCTCTCACTACATATTTACGACGCTATTTATACACGCAAGGAGGAAATCAAGTCAAAAAATACAAGGCCTGGGTCTTGGCTTATGGGGACCTGCTGCTTTAATGGGGTTATACATCTTGAGTAAGGACAGACGGCTGAGACGTGGAGCGAGATGGGGAATAGGTCTCTGAAGACCATGCTAAGACTGATATTTTCGACGGGTTTTAAACTTTGGATTTTTTGTGGGCGCCAAGACCAAGATTTCGGCTAATTAGCCAGGAGGGCTTCATGTATCGATGAGTCAACGGCACTCCCCAGCGCCCTGGACGGCACAAAAGAAGCTAGGCTAAGCTACTATACAGCAATCACGCTCTGTCAAGACTTTTCTGACATTTCGGCACGACCTTCGGGAAGGAGTTGGAAGGAGGCTAGAAAGGCAGAGTGTAAATTCTCCGAGGTACACACAAGTCTGCAGCGCCCAGCTGGGCGGCCTCTTCAAACGCTTCGGAACGGTCACTATGTCTTCGGATCTAGTCCTAATGTCGGTATTAGAAGAGCTCCGGACCCAGTGATTTTTGCGAATTTTCCCGGCTGCCATACGCCCGCAAATGGCTATCGTTTCGTTGGCTGGAGAGGGGAGATAATGAGGATAAAGGGCTCCTCTTAGTGTATGATCGAACGAGGACTTGTGAGGGGTAGTACTGTTTGAGGGGAGCTGTATGGGAGGCATAGGAGGGGATATACTACTGGTATAGGTATCCTTGGCCTGTAGGCAGAGAGGACCTGCATGTCCTACATAGTCATAGACTTAGACAGGACAATAAAATGAATTAATAATAATAATTCACCGTCAACTGCACGTACGCCAGACGCGTCGACTACGAGGGACAATATCACATCACGACTTTACCCACAAACTTCTCGGGCCTAAGTGCCTCGAACACTTTAAATAACTTGCGCAGGAAACCGGCTGCTTCGGGGACCCATCTGTGTCTTCGTCTCCAGCTCTCAGCGTAGAAGGTAGTAACTAGATCATACCACGAAGCATGACGGGCAGGAAAATGAGACGAGAAGTGTCATTTTCCAACCACAAACCGGAGTATAGGATTTGGAATCCTGGTTGTGGGAGTTTGTGTGGGCATTTATTTTCTTTATTTTAACTAGCTACTTGTTGTGTAGTGAGTCACGCGGTGAGACCGAGTCAGGCAGGTGGGAAGCATGACCCTGGCCATGTGCACCAGTCCTTGACTCCTAGGAGGTATTGAGCATAGCTTAGGACTTTAAAAATATTAAAAGAAAAATGTCGGATTGGCCAGGGTATGCTGCGACGCTGTGGTGGATCTTTTGGAGCACAGCTTTGGAACGACCCAGGTCCATGAGGTACATAGATGGGCAAAGTTGATGGGATCAGTAGCTATCTCTGGGTTAGTGCCATACCGGTTGAAGATGCAAAAGAATTGCACCCTCCGGGAATCGAACCCGGGGCCAGCGCATGCTTTGTGGGAAGCGCTGATTTTACCACTAAACCAAGAGTGCTTTTTAAGACATTAAGCATCAAATTGAATCATATTTTATCTAAATATAAAACTATTGATGAATTGGTCAGTTAAAAGAAAACTTCAGGCCTGGCTCCCCTGATTAGTAAATACTTCACACATGCGAAGTATTTTCCGAAAAACAAAATTACGCTTGGCCTAATGTTTGTCACTCTAGCCCATACTGTCAGTCTTGAAGCCGGAGTTTTATGGGATAGCTTGGGGATTTACTTTTATTTCATATCACCTTTTATTTTATTTTATCAAACGTATCAACATTATATCTTCACATAAAACTTTAAATCTATTTATTTAGTGTACGGAGTCCTTCATAGATATGGATTGAGTGAGCTCTTTAATTCTATTATATCCTTTGACAGCACTCGGAATCACACCCCAGCCGGCAAAGACGAATTCTTCACCTTCCAGTGGTGCCGGTGGAATGGCTCAGTATGCTCCGCATATCTAGGATGGCCAAGAAGAATCGCATCCAAATTGAAGGCGAAAGCACTCGCAAGCTCATCTAGAATCGACGACTCATCGTTAATGTCCGACCTATCATTATCACGCGAGTCCTCCACCTCAATCTTACCACACTACCTCGCCTCAAATACCGATAATGGCGTTACTCCAATTGCAATCGGGCGTTTGCCTCATCAAAAACCGGCCATCACCTACTACAAATTTACGATGCCATGTAGATCCTTGAGGAGGAGATTAAGTCAAAATATACAAAGCTCAGGTCTTGGTCTATAGGGGACTGCTGCTCTCATGGGGCTTCACATCTTGAGGGAAGTCAGGCAGCTGGGACGCGGGACGCGGGACGCACAGTTTTCGAGTATTTTTGACTTAAGGGTGTCTGTGGGCGTAGAGGCAACGATTTTGGACAGTGCAACCGACACTCTAAAAACTGGCAACGATGGAAGATGTTTTGGTCCGTCTCCTGGTCGTCATCTCCCCGAATTAAAGTCTGCGTAGCCTGGACACCTACCTCCCTCGAAAAAGGGAGGACTGTGAGGCCATATCTCGCACGGCGGCTATATACAAGATGGCAAAGGCATGTTAGGGTAGCGGAAGGTTTTTCATGTTTTCCCTTTGGTGGATAGTAACGGTTGAGGGAAGGGTGAAAGTCCCTGGCACCAAGGTCTCGAGTGGTATCAGCCAATGCACCCACTACATGATTAGTCCAAATGTCAAACTGAGTTATCGTCGTATACAGTCGTCGGAGGAGCCTGTCTTCTCCGTGTCATGCTCTTTGAGTGCAAGGCTTGTGCCCGTCACGAATAAATTTTCATCATCACCCACACCCCATGCGTGTAGAGTTCACTGTATATATTTTTATTTATACATTTATGTCCTATTTGAGATTCCAACTATGTCGGACAGACTATTTAAATACAACTTTTCTATTTCATTCTAATTGGGGGTTTCCTTCATTTGGTGGTGGGATCCCCATTACTGGTTCACCAGCAGAGTTCGCTGTAGTCACTCCTATTTCTCCATCCGTAACCATTATATCTTCAATTCCCAAGACTACCACTCTGCCATCCTCTCGCTTCGTGGTGATCGGTTAAGTGACTAAGGAAAATAAAGAATATTTTTTTCACTTCCGAGGTTAGATGTACAAGTATTGTGGTAGGATAGTAGACATGAAGAAGAACGAGGAATGGATATTCTGGTGGTGAGCGAATACGCTTAGATAATCTGAAGATAAATGGATATCTAGAGTAACCATTTCCTACATAGAGAGTAATGCATCTGGCTATATACAGGTCCAATTTGCTATGGCCATGCTCATTGAGTGTCCGATGTGCTCACGTAATGCGTATCAATAAAATTAGATCCTTAAGCTCCTACTATTAGCGCGACTCACATTTAAGTGATGCATTAATATGAGCTTGCAAAAATATAGTCATGTAATATGATCACTTAGTCTTTTCTATGAAGCCCTTGCTTCTTTGCGCAAACTAGGATCATAACAGAGTCTCAATGTTATGGTAGTAAATTGTAGATTAAATCCATTTTGCATCGGGTCACATCAGGAGACGAAAAGCCGACACTTCCAGCGGTTTTGTTTTTTATCTCTGTTGTGTTGAGTCTCAAGCATCAAACACGCTCAATATGGAAGGTATTAATCATCTTGGTCGTGATTCATGTGTGAGAATCTTAGTTGTTCCAATCATAGGGAAACTTTAGACACATAGAGTCTAAATTTCTAACATTGAGTCCATGACTATGTGAGGACATGTAGGCCCTTTCTGCCTACAGACTGAGAATATCTATACCTCTGGTAGTGTACTCCCTTCTTTGCCTCCTTCACGGCATATTTTCAGCGGTAATACCTTCCACAGGACTTCATTTGACAGCACACTTACAGGAGCTGTTCCCCAGTCATCATCTCCCCTCTCCAACCAAATAAAAAATGACCATTTGCGAGCGTGTAGCTGTGGGGGAAACTCTCAAAAACTAAAATCAGGACTAAATCAGGACTAAATCAAAAGGCATAGCAACCCTTTTCAAGGATCTGTCGAGGCCGGCCAGTCGAGCGCAGCAGACCCGTGTATGACTAAAAGCGTCTCTCGGCCTTCCTAGTCTCTTCTTCCCCTGTTTCATGCCACAGGACAAACTGAAGCTCGTGAAAGGATGTCAGAGAAGTCTTGGTCGAGAGTGACTGTCGTGAAGGAGCCTAGGCTAGCACCGACAAGTTGTTGTGGAAGTGGGGTTTTTGTTGTGGTTATGAGCGATGCGGAAGCTATACTGCGGAGTGATGAGGAATGGATGATGTGATTGATGTGAGTGACAGTGAATATACTTGTATGATACGATGCTGTAAGAGTATGATCAGAAAGTAAAAGAAACCTGCGTCGTTTAATTGTGGGTACACCTAAGAGAATATATACACGCTAGCTTAACCATTACACTAGTGACACCGTCCTGTGGCTTAAGGCCCTGCGCAATGCCCTAGCCCCGACTACCAAGTTATCGCATATCATAACACTCCCCCTGTCGGTAACGACTTATTATCTGGATGCAAATGTTAATTTATTGAGACTGGCGATTTGACTTTAGTTAGACTGTCAGCAAGTTGGTTCGCGGACTGGACGTATGAAACTGTGATCTTTCCTTGTTGATACTGATCGCGACAGTAGAAATTTCTGAGGGCGATGTGCTTTGACCGCTTATGGTTATCGTGATTTTTGATCAGTGAGATGGCTGATTGATTATCGACGTATAACACAGTGCACTCAGCTCCTTCGATAAGGTTTGTGTTATGATAGGTCTATGATTCGGGTGTACATACAATTTGTGGGAGCTCGCTGCTAGTGATCACAGATGGGCTGCTGGGCCGGACAGTTCAAGGAGAGGAGTAGAGAATGATCTCTGTAGAATGAGGTAAGACTGAATTGCTTGCTCTATCTACTGTGGAGGAAAGCTCTCTACTTATAGTCCCTAGACTATTGCTTACTAATTATACTAACTCAACGAAGCAGGAGCAAACAGAGCAAATGCATGCAGTCGCGTGACCATCATAACTGGAGCTGTGCACTGTAACTATGTGGGTCCAGGCACAACAGTTTGTTATTTTCAGTTCTTCGAATAAAGCTTTCACCCATTGCAGTTGACGACATGTCTCTGTTGCCGCAAGGTACTCTGCCTCTGTAATAGAGAGTACAACTTCTCGCTGCAAGTGGGATTTCCAACATATTAGACCGAACCCGAGTTTAATCAACATTCCTGATGTAGATCAGCTATTTGATTGATCGGAAGCGAAGTCGGCATCTGAATATGCTTCTAGAACTGTTCTTCCCTTTCCTTTAGAGAAGGTAATGCCCTTGTTAGTTTCTCTGGCTATGTATCTTACGATGTGACGTGCTGCTTGAAGGTGTTCGATGGATGGATTGGCGAGGAATCTTGCAAGGTGATTAACAGAAAATGTGATATCGGGTCGTATATTATTAGATAGATACTGGAGTCCTCCGATAATTGAATTGTATTCTGCTTTCAGTTGCGCTGTACACTCGGAGTCGCTTTGTTCCAAGAGTCGTTCTAGCGGTGAGTTCACTGGCTTGCAATTTCCTAGGCCGTGTCTTTCAAGAAGTTTACGAGCATATTGGCCTTGAGAAAGCTCAAGTGACTTGTTTCCCTGCTTGATATTGATTCCGAGAAATAAGTCAGTGTCAACAGTCTTGAGCTTGTACCTTTTGTGAGGTGCATGCATGAGGTTCTCTATCTTGGTTCTATTGGGTCCCATCACCTGAAAGTCATCAACGTGAAGTAATACGAATAGATCTTTCTGACTGGTGGTATATAAAAATATATCTGACTGTGTCGGATATAGGCCCAAGCCTGCTAGAGTTGCTTTTGCATCATCATACCAAAGGGCGGCAGCTTGTTTTAACCCGTACAAACCTTTCTGAAGATGTATAACTTGTCCATCTCTTTCAAATCCCTGCGGTAGATCCATGTAGAGGTCAATTTTTAGTTTTAGATTGAGAAATGCTGTCGGGACGTCACCCTGACACCGGTGCCAGTCGAGTTGGTATGCCAATACGAGCATTATTCGGCCTGTTTCCGGTCTAGGAGTAGGGGCAAATGTTTCGTGGTAATCTATGCCTGGTCTTTGTGTATATCCCTTTGCAGTGCAGCGAGCCTTAAATCTATCAATGCTTCTGTCTGCACGGAATTTCTTTTTAAACACCCATTTGCATCTTAGGGGTGTTAGACCTTTTGGCATAGCGGTACGTGGAATAATTTTGATGGCCCCAGTCTCTTTCAGTGATCTTATCTCATCCCGCGCTGCTCTTTTCTAAAAATGAGCTTCTGGGCTCGTCATTGCTTCTTCCCATGTCTTAGGATCAATATTTTGGTTGGCTGATAGGCAATGATGCAGGCGATAATAGTCAACCTGTTTGACTTCCCTACCTCTCTTCGATCGTGTTCTCCCTGATACTGGCGAGTGCGGACGTTTTTGTCCTGCTACAGGAGGTAGTAGATCCCAACCAGTCATAATCTTATCTAGTGGGGCCTCTTCGGTTTCAAAGACCGAAACTGGCTCCCCCTGATTGTCTGTTGGTGTCGCTTCTCCATTTTCTAGGGCACGAGAAATTTCAGATGAAGTGTATTTGTCGTTTGGATTGCTAGACTGACGCTCATAGTCGTACTCTGAATCTATTGATGAATCTGGCTCATCATCGGGCTGGATTGCTACTGGTTCCATTTCCGTGTGCTGCCATGAAATGGGAGGGTTTGGAGGAGTACTTGAAGCTGTCATGCCCTGGGATATGTCCAACGATCTATCTACTGGAATGTTTAACGATATGTCAGCTCGAATGACTGGTGGAACATTCTGTGGCTGTGCGGTACTGGTGGCTGAATGTTAGATGGCAGGTAATGATGTGATGGACTGTTTCCCTGCTGGGCTTCTGGCCCTGTCTGTGGATCGTCTCTGATCGTCTGCTGATTATCTCTGTTTTCTGGATGTTGAGATTCAAAACCTTGTTATCGCATTTGAGGATGCTGCGACTTGTGACCTTGCAGATGCTCCCCCTCAGACTCAAATGGGAGACGAGTTGTATTTGTTGCGGGAAGGGTTGGTTCGTTTATGGGGCGGACTTGATCTGTGAATAATGTATTTTCGTTTTGCCAGTACTCTGAAGCAAACTTCCGATTATTTGGATCAAGTTCATCGCCAAACACAATATCCTCACTGAATGTTGCATGAGGTGTAAAACTCTAAATCCATTTCCACCCCTGAATTGGAGTTTTATGTGGATGGTAAATGAGATAGTTTTTGTTGGTGTTGGCTTGAAACCCTACAAACCACCCTTTTTCTGCTCTTGATTCGAACTTCCCCGGTTTTGGACTTATTAACTTATAGGCACGGCAGCCAAACCGGGGCATGTTTCTGAAATCGATCTTCTCTGGATGGGGTTGACGAAGCCCTTGTAAGAAGTCGATTATTGGTACCTTTTTGGTGCGTATGTAGTACAGACGGTTTACAACGAAGCATGCGTGTTGTACTGCCCATGGCCAGTAGCTTGGAGGCATGCGGGCGTCAATGAGAAATGATCGATCTACTCTTAGTACAACTTTTATGGCTGCTTCTGATGCACCGTTCTGTTCTGGTGTCTCTGGTGCCGAGATATCGGTGCGGATACCATGCTCTTCACAATAAGATTTTGTTTTTGAAAATTCTGATCCTCCGTCCCTGAATATAGTGCGAACTCGTTTTCCAAACTGGTGATGCATGGATTCGGCCCATTTAACCAGTGACGGGGAGATTTGATCTTTTGTGTTGCATATTAGTACCTACCGCATTCTACTTTTGGCATCGGTCAGAATAACTGCATACTGATGGCCGTTTAATGATTGTGTTATTTTTCCCACAGTATCCACAAAAACTTCATCTAGGGGCTCATT